GCAACCAGGCGGCGATCCAAAGCCAAAGCATATCATCCATCCAAAACCGAATCAAAACCGACCAAACAACAAGCAAAAACATATGAACGACGACGACCCCAACGCACCAACACACAAACACACACACATATACGTGTACGCATACCCATTCGCAGGCAAATACACGCGCAGCCCATGCCCATGACAGAGCACAGAGATACGATACTCACACACACACTCATACGCGCGCGTACTTAAACGATATGCGAATAAAATAGCAACAGCAACAACAAGAGCAAACAACATACCAACGGCAGCCGCCGCCGCAGCAGGGCAACTATGCGGCGAATTTGCACGAATCATGCGAATCTCCAATACACACACACACACAGCGAGAAACACAGCCAGTCTTATACACCCATACACCCATACACATGCACATGCATACTTAATACGTGTTTTGTACTTGTCGCCGTCTTCGTCATCATCGCTGTCGCTGGCCATTCTCGCCATCATGGCTGCTGCTGCTKCTGCTGCTCTATACACTCTTTGTATCTACGCGACGCGCGTTCGTTACATTTCACAGTCGGTCGCAGGCGTTTTGCCAGATTTCGCTTTTCAACCCAACCGCCTCCCTTTCCATGTCGCCATCTGCAGCACCACCCAACTTATCAAACTAACAAGCATTCACAGTAATAGCAACTACAACTACAACAATAACAACAGCAACAATTTCTTCTACGAACTCCAAAAAGTAATCGTCTCGTCTATTGTGCCCTGCTTTTCGTTCAGTTCATTCGCATTTTTGTTTTGACTGCTCTTGTCAACTGGTCGTCTCTTTTCAACGCTCATTCTATACGAAAGCCGCCGCCGACGCTACTGACGCCGACGGCGCAGTCTGTCGTTCAGTCGCCTCCAACATTGCCGGCCATCTGTCTAACATGAGGCTGGCGCCTCAGTTTGCGTCACTGCTCGCTCACTCAGTCTCTGCCGCCAAAGGCCGGCACACGTTGTTGCCGTTGCTGTTGCTCCAAAACCCACCCCAACCCACGTCTGCTGCTGTCTCTGCCCATTCTGTTCGGCCTGTGCCATCGGCTGTAGCTGTGGCAGCGGCAGCGGCAGCACGTGATATACTCGCTTTGCTTTTGTAATTTCGCTTTTGGCTAGCTCTTTAGCGCACGCTATGCTTTTGCCACATGTTTTTGTTGTTACGTTTTTTTCACTTGTTGGGCTGTTTTTTCTTTTCCTTCTTTGTTTTCTTGTTTTTACTCGCCGCTATTGCTCTCTGTTTCTCCTCTACCTCTCTCGCGTCTTCGCTCTCATACAGCCGGCGCTCAGCTATCATGCTCTCGTCCATTACCTCTCGTTTGCGCGCTCTCTCGCTCGCTCGGTCTCTCTCGTTTTGTAGCGTAGCGCTCTCTTGTGGGTTTGCAAGTTTGTTTCAGTTCGGATGTGCTCAGTGTTGTTGTTGTTGTTATTGCATAYACAATGGCACTATCCGGTTTAGGTCCAGGTGCAAATTTTATACAACAGTTTAACTCGATAATCGGGTCAGGCTATGGCCATTTGTTCTACACGTTTTTTTTTGTCTTTTTCGGCAAATTCTAGCGGGAAACATGGCGTCAAAATTTGAGGTTTTGATATTTCTTGCTCTATTCATGACGAATCGCAACGCCAGCACAATCGGTGTTGCCACCCAATTATTGCTCAGGCACAGGCACGTCATAAATGCACCGTTACATATTCAAAAAGCTGCGACGTGCTGTAATATACGTTACTGTATTTGCTGCTCTTTAGCTCAACCAAAATAAGAGACGAAGCAAAGAAGAAACAACTGTGTGTGGCTGTAACTTTACCTATTTTATTACCATTTTTATGTATGCATGTGTGCGTGTATGTGCGCGCAGCACCCATCATCTGCCTCTTTGGCTGACTGGCTGCTGTTGCTGCTTGTTGTTGCTTTTCTTACAAAAACCAACTGTACTTTTTAGTTACTGTTAGTGCGCGGCGTACAAGCCAAAAGCCACTTGACTACTTGACTTGATTGCCATTAGAGAGCAATATGTGCACACACACAAACATTCACACACAGACACATACATACATATGTATGAGGCGCATTTCTTTCCATTCTGCCGGAATGACACAACAAACAAACACTCTGCACATTCCATTCTCATGCCATTATTATTTATTATGGGTCAAATGTTGGTTACATTTCAAAACACGAATGCCGCAAGCTTTAAGCCAAAGCAAAGGCAAAAGCAAAGCTTAAAATACACAAAGTTTTTTGGTTTTTGTTTTGTTGTTTCTTTTATTTTTATTATTTTTTGGTAAAGGTGAATGAACTTTGGTTGCCTGTGCGCTCGCATTGTTGTTGCAAAATGTTTAATCATATAATTTGATAGCTAGTTTGATTGAAGATTGTTGAAGTTTCTTCAATTGTTGCTTATGTTTTAAGCTGCTCTTCTCTAATTGAGATCAAGATTTGATATGATTTGCATTCCGTTATCGATAGCAAGCATAATTTGACTATCGATGGTTGACAATATCAACACTTGGAACACTCGACGCAAATGAAATGCCCCGCAATAAAAATAAAACATAGCCAAAGCTAATGCTGCTGCTTACGTCTCAGTCTCTGCCTCTGCCTCTGTCACTGTATGTCTGGCATCTAGCAACAACAACAGCAAGGCAACGTAGAAGTAGCAGCGCGCGTCGCGTCGCGGCTGCGTCGGGTCAGCGGCGACGTTTGTCGTCACCAAGAGTTGGACACACACAGAAATTTGCTTGTCTATTATCACCTTTAATCGATTTTTCGCTTATTTAAAACAAAAGTACAGTTGTGCGCGCATAGCCGCCAATACACACACATAATTTCAGAGAAAACAACAAAAAATGTTTTCAGATGCTTTGTCGTTGTTGTTGTTGCTTTACATATTACTATTGCTTTTAGTTTATTGTTTTTGCATTTACTTGGCGACGCCGAAACCGTAGCGAAAGAAGAGGCAAAAAAAAACGGTTTGAAACGTAAACTCAATGACATATACATGTATACAAAGACATATACAAACGTACGTATAGACATAGCTATCTGCTAGATACAAACTTTGTACACACATACACAAGTAGCTCGACTAATAATAATGGAAGAAAAAAAAAAGCTGAAACTAAATAAATAAATAGCTGAAATTGCAAAAGCAAAATGTAATTGATTACAAACAACAACAACAAACAACAACGACGACGACGACTGACTAAATGATTGCCCAATGAGCGCGAGTGCGAGTGCGAAGAAGCCAAGAGAGGGTAAAAGAGAGAGGGCGCGAGCTGGTGTTGTACGAGCAGGAAAGAGGAGGTGGCGAAGGAGGCGCAGGCATTTGGTTGTGGGAGAGTGAGCTGAAGGCATGGGCTAAGCGCGCTTAGCGCTCATGTCATGCACTCTACATAAGTTTTCAGATGCATGTGTGTGTTGTGTGATGGCTGTTGATATTTGTATATGTGCATGCGTGTGTGCGAGTGTGAGTGAGTTAGTGCTGCCACTGTGGTTGGCTTACTGACTGTCTGGCAAGCGAAATATGTGCGCACGTATTTATAACAGTACACATAGAGCGCAATTTGGTACCTCTATATGTGTGCATGTGTGTGTGCTTGACTTGCTAACTGCATATTTTGCACAGTGGTTGCTTGCTAATTTAAATGCAACATTTTATTGGCAGAGTTAAATGTTTTATTTGTAATGATAATAATAATAATGAAATTCACATTCAATTAGATTTCTTAATTTATTTGCAGTAATAATGCTTAATAAATTCAAGAACAACGGAAACATTGTCTATTGATTTGTTCGTTCAGTTAAATGCAATATTTGGTGTGCACATCTCAGATATACTAATATTAAAATTCTAGTTTCACTCTAGTTTCATTAACTAGCAACCACTGTAGCTTAGCATGCGTTTGACTTGCTTGCATATCTCTCGTATGTACTATTCCGTTAACTGTAGTTTTGTCTCGCTGTATCTCTCCACTTGGCATACACTTTCCATTTACACACACACATATATATATATTATACACATACAGTTGTACAGATGCCCCGCTCCTTTTAGCTGGCTGCTGTTTGCAACATTTGCATATCTTTTGGGCATTGCTGCTCAACCCCTCAAAAAACGCGCTGCTCAACGGGCAACACCCGCATTACCTTTTTTCTTCATGCTCTTTGCTGCTGCTGCTGCTGCGCTGCTACTTTAGGTTGCTTGAATTTTTTTTTTGGGGCTAAACCTTTGCAGACAATGCGAAAAATCGATAGAGTTGGCATTGTTTTTTCTCACAGCAAAGATGTCACCACCACCAATACAAGGACAACAGCAACAACAACGAAATCATATAAAATTCGTAACAGCATCCAAAAAAGATTTGAGGTGGGTGGGGGTGGAGACTTTGAGGCGAACAACTAGTCTTAATCCACGCCTCATTAATTGCCAACACTCTCTTCATTCTCCCTTTTGTGTGCCTTTTTCGTCAACACTTTTCACAGCTCAGTTTCGTTAGCAGCTTCTTTTGTTACGTCTTACGTTTCACAGCTTATGTCTTACGTCTTTTGGGGGATGGTATTTGGGTACAGCCTAGCTTTTAAGATTCACAAGATATTTTAACAAATGTGAACAAAACACTCAAATGTTTAGGGGGTCAAACTGTACGTTGTATGTGTAAACAATGAAATCCATAAGCGTATAGCTTTTCCCCTTAAAAGTTGAAGTGGAATCAACAGCAAAATAAGCATAGCTACTATATATAGTATATATACAATGTAAAATCCTCGTTTAAAAAAAACTCTTACTAATTACAGCTTATCCTTGTCTCTTTTCATTACAGATTCTACATTTATAGAAATACGCTCAATACATATACATATAGCCCGTTTATTTACCGTTTTACGCAAAAGTTTAGGCATTAGGCATTTTTAGGTTATGTTACCAAGCCTTTTTTATATATAATCGAAAATATTGTTATCTCTACAGCTGTGAGCGAACGTTTCACTGCGAATATGTCAAAGGTCGGCCATGAAGTGTGCGAAACAACAAAAAGGACAAACACAAATGTGTATACACTATAAAAGAAAACAAAAGATAATAACATATATTAATATATATAGATATTTATAAATATAACGGAAGACGTTCCACAACAACAAAAATCTAAAAGCTGTAATTAAGTTTAGTAGTTAGAAAACAAACTTAACAACAAATCAAAATAAGAAAAAGAGGAAAAACCCGACCAATAATTTCAAGTTGACATTCAGACAGAGGTTTTTCTCACAGTGCATTGTGGTTAAATGAGTCAACGTCATCGCAGCAGGACGCACCACAACCTGCGAGACCGTAGACATACCCCCAACAACACCAGCACAACCCCTCCCATCAGGTATAGCCTTGCCACGCGCAGAGATCGGCATCAAAATTAAGCCAATCGACGACCAAACCTAAAACGCAGCGTTGCGTCCTTTGACGCACGTAACGGGACATTTCTGTGTGCGCTGCGTTTCAAAAATCTGATGGATGGAAATGCACAAAATATGTTTCACGGCAATCATCAAGGGTGAGTTTTTCATCGAGTTTTTTCTCCACATATATATACGTGGCAGCTAGAAAAAGTTTGTTTCTATGAAAATGGGGTATGTTAGTTGTGGGTGAGGCTCAGATACACTAAATATTATAAATAGCAAAAGTGCGCAATTAATTAATTACAATAATATGTATCTATTATATCTATCCATCTATATACAGTCTTTTTTTGTTAGTGCCATTAGATTTTTATTATTTTCTTGAATAAGAATTTTGTATTATCATTAGTGTTTTGGTTGTTAAATGTTTAACTAATACATATTTAATAATATATTATTTATATCAATT